GTTGACCAGGATGGTCTCGATCTCTTGACCTCGTGATCCACCCGCCTCGGCCTCCCGAAGTGCTGGGATTACAGGCTTGAGCCACCGTGCCCGGCCTTTTTTTTTTAGACTAAATTTCACTCTGTGGCTGAGGCTGGAGTACAGTGGAGTGATCTCTGCTCACTGCAACCTCTGCCTCTTGGGTTCAGGCGTTTCTCCCGCCTCAGCTTCCCAAGCAGCTGGGATTACAGGCACCCGTCACCATGGCTGGCTAATTTTTGCATTTTTAGTAGAGACAGGGTTTCACCATGTTGCCTTGGCTGGTCTGGAACTTCTAACCTCCAGTGATCCTCCCACCTCAGCCTCCTTTGGGAGGATTACAGGTGTGAGCCACTGTGCCTGGCCTCAATTAATACTTAAATTGCCTATAAGGAGTTTATGGTCTGGAGTTGGGTGCTATGCAACATAGTCACTATGTGTGGCAATTTAAATTTTATTATTATTTTTTGAGATGGAATTTCACTCTTGTTGTCTAGGCTGGAGCACAATGGTGCAATCTTGGCTCACTACAACCTCCAGCTACCGGGTTCAAGCCATTCTCTTGCCTCGGCCTTCCAAGTAGCTGGGATTAGAGGCTTGCACCACCACACCCGGTTAATTTTGTATTTTTAGTAGAGATGGGGTTTCTCCATGTTGGTCAGGCTGGTCTTGAACTCCTAACCTCAGGTGATCCACCTGCCTCAGCCTCCCAAAGTGCTGGGATTCCAGGCATGAGCCACTGCACCTGGCCTAAATTTTATTTGGAAGCTCTGTAATCCAAGGCTTGAATGCAGCAGTGCCATCTCAACTCCCTGAAGACTCTGTGTCTCCTGGGCTCAAGCAATCCAAAATTTTAATTAAAATTAAATAAAAAATTTTAGGCCATGCATGGAGGCTCACACCTGTAATCCCAGCCCTTTAGGAGGTTAAGGTGGGCAGATCATTTGAGGCCAGGAGTTTGAGCCCAGCCTAGACAACATGGTGAAACCTTGTCTTTGCTAAAATACAAAAATTAGCCAGGCGTGGTGGCACATGTCTGTAGTCCCAGCTACTCAGGAGGCTGGGGTAAGAGAATAACTTTAACCCAGGAGATGGAGGTTGCAGTGAGCCAAGGCTCTGCCACTATATTCCAGCTTGGGTGACAGAGTGACACTCTGTCTCAGAACAAAACAAAACAAAAAAATTGCCTTAGCTGTACTTGCCACATTTAGAGTGCTCAGTAGTCATATGTGGCTAGTGGCTACTGTAGTGAACAGCACTCACACAGAATAACTGTTACCAAAATTCTATTGGACAGCACTCTATAGGAGGGAATAGAGACAGACACCACATGTGTTACACACACAGATAAAATGGATTAAGGGAAATAAGGTAATAATATTGAGAGGGACTGCTTGGCTGCTTTAGATTGAGGGGCCAGTGAAATGTTCAGGCAGGTAACATTTAAGCCAGGATAAAAATGAAAAGGAAAAAAGTGAAAATAGTGGGATGGGGGAAGCTAGACGGAGAACACAGCCAGGAAAAAGGCCGTTGGGTTGAGGCAGGTTGGAAAGAAAGCTCTCGTGGCTGGGGCCGAGTGATCAGGGGAGAGTGGTGGAAGAAGTCTGTGGGGCAGGTCAGAGCCACATCACCAGGGCTTCAGTAATTTGAGTAAAGATTTAGGATTTTTTTTTTTTTTTCTGAGAGCGGCATGAGAGGGTTATAAGTGGGGAATGACGTGGTCTGATTATATATTTACCTCGTTCTGATTTCATTAGTTACTTACTTACCCATGTCCCTGCCCGATTGCACAATTCTGGATTTTTCATATTCTTAGTATATTGACTCATGTCCCATTCGCTCAGTGTATTAGTAATAAGTGGTAGAATTGGATTACATCAAATTTAAAAAAAAATCTTTTTCTTTTCCCTTAAGAAACAGGGTCTTGCTCCGTCACCCAGGCTAGCGTGCAGTGGCATGATCATAGCCTCCAACTTCTGGGGTGAAGCAATCTTCCTGCCTCAGCCTCCTGAGTAGCTGGGACTACAGGCATGTACCACCAGGCCTGGCTAATCTTCTTGGTTTTTGCAGAGAGAGAGTCTTGCTATGTTTTGCCCAGGCTGGTGTCAAACTCCTGACCTCAGGTGATCCACTCGCCTTGGCCTCCCAGTGTTGGGATTACAGGCATGGGCCACTGCGCCCAGCAAGAAATGAATTTTTATTTTTATTTTTTTGAAATGAAGTTTTATTCTTCCCAGGCTGGAGTGCAGTGGCGTGATCTCTGCTCACTGCAACCTCTGCCTCCCAGGTCCAAGCGATTCTTCTGCCTCAGCATCTCAAGGAGCTGGGATTATAGGCAACTGCTACCATGCCCAGCTAATTTTTGTATTTTTAGTAGAGACGGGGTTTTGCCATGTTGGCCAGGCTGGTCTTGAACTCCTGGCCTCAGGTGATCCACCTGCCTCGGCCTCCCAAAGTGCTGGGGTTAAAGGCGCGAGCCAGTGCACCTAGCCAAGAAATGCATTTTTAAATGCTGCCATACAAAACACTTGCAGGCCAAATTTCATCTGGGTCACCAGTTAGTAGCATCAGATATCATGTCAGAGTACAGAGGCTGCGGGAGTCAGGGGTTCCCACTCCTTGGTAGTCTGCGACCCACAGCCACAGTATGCCAAGACTATCCACTTTCCCGCAAAGCCTGTCATAAGCTGCAAGATACAGAGCACCACTGCCTCCTTGGAAGTTGCTGAATTCTTAGACCAGAAGAGGAGTTAATGAAGTACTAGGCAAGCTTACTCATGTTTGTATGGTTTAATGATTAAGAGCAGAATTCAACAGCCAGATTTAATGCATGTGGGTCCTTGACATAGAGCCTGCTGTATACTGTAATAACTTCTCCAAAATCCTTAGCTAGTGCTATTGGTGCCTGTGTAGGTTTAGTTTTCGAAGTTCGTCCATGGTTGTTTTTGCTTATTATACCAATCCCCGGTGGGAGATAGAGGAAGTATTTTTAGTGCTATTGTACAACTGAGGAAATAGGGGTTTGAAGAGGTTCAGGAACTGTCAGGGTCACCCAGCATTGTGAGTGAGAGAGCCTGGATCTGAACGTGCTTGCTCCAGTTTTCTGAAGCATTGTCTTGAAATCCCTTGGTAAGGTGCAGTCTGAATTGTCCAGAGGATGAAAGGTTAGGTGCAGTGACTCACATTCACTCTCAATTCCTCTTGCTAATGGCAAACTTGGTAATGTGACTGTTAAGACTAGGGATGAGTTGTGGCGACTGAGCAGGAAGAGCCCCGCATCTATCAGAGGCCCAGTTTACTCGGAAAAGCAAGTGCCTCTCTGCCACTGGAAGGCTGGCCTTAGCTCTCGTGCTGCCATTGAGCCACACTGGTTCTCTGCTTCCAGTTTCCTTTTTGTTCCCCAATTTCCTGTATCAGGACCAGGAGTCGGTTTGGAGGCTCTAAGAGGGGAAGAAGCTGGGAAATCAGGGGCTGTTTCTGCAGACAGCTTTCCCTGTCCTTTGGAAGGCACAGAGCTCTCAGCCACAGAAAACTAACAAACAGAGCTCTGAAGCCGTTTTGTGTGTGGTCTTGTCTCATTCCCAGCAGAGCAGGCTCATATAAATCATCCAGTTGGGTGAAAAGAGAAGTCGCAATCTGAGAATTAAGACTTAATCGGATACCATCTGGTGGGGGGTACCAACCAGTCTGTCTGCTCATTTTCCTTCAGGTCAACCCCATAATGCATCCTCAGGTGGTCGTCTTAAGCCTCATGCTACTTCAAGCAGGTAAGTGAGTACACGCCCTCAGCGGGAAGAAGGGAGTAAAGGGGGGTTAGAAGCCAAGAGGATGGGGTAGGGGAAGGGGAGGGGACGGTGGTGGTGGCTGAATGTAGATGTTCTTTGGGCACCATTGGATGGCTATGAGTTAACTAGTGAGCAGGACCAGAATAAAGTTTTATGCCAAAGAAATTGCTTAACTGCCATGAATTATGACATTCATGGCTAAATGAACAAGGCAAGATGCAGCACAGTGTGTCACATGTGGCCATTTGTGTTTAAATAAAAAAGGAATGGCTAGATGTATATACATAAACACATGTACATAGGTAATGGTAACTGGGTACTGTGAGATGGGGTGGAGGATGGGAGGTGGAGGGAGAGTTAAGGCTCCTTGTATGCTTTTGTGCCTTTTGATTTTTTTCAACGACATTCAATTCTTCCTCTCTTTCTTTCTTTCTTTCTT